CTTTTTGCATTTTTCAAGTATCATCATTAAAATTAATTCCACAAAGACGAGGGCCTCGCAAAAATTTACCCGCCCAGAACCTTCCAATGACTAAGGCCGCCCCTGATGATAACAATAGGAAATAGAAACTGTTAGAAAATGTTCCAACTAGTCCCGTACGCCAACTAACCCCGATCTCTCTGAATATTAAGCAGCGACTTACGACAGGTACCATTATCATTTTAACGAAAAATGTGAATTGCTGCTGCTGTCTTCAACCGTTCTATTAATCGAAAGTTTCAGTTACAGAGAAAGAAAAAATACAACTCATTTTATGCAAACTATTGAAATACTCTTTTGAAATATATGTGATGTTTATACAAAACAATTAACTGTTTGAATTAAGATTTATGAAAATAAACTTCCATGTTATGCTTCTATGGGATTATAAAAATCACAAAATCTGTGTAAATTATTAGAAAAAATCGACTACATAGGTAGCCATTTTAGTGTAAAGTGGTTTTTATCTGAAAAACAGAGCGGATTGCGAATTAGATAAAGGACAAACGGCCATATCCAGCAAAATGCGGCTATTCACCAGTGAATAAATATGGAAATGAACAAATACGGGAAATGGTGAAATATATTGAAGGCGACGTATCTAAGGAAATTTTAAATTCTCGTCACAAATGCGTGTAAGTCCGGTAGTCGGACGGATTCACCACAAAAGACAAAGCGTCCGGTGCATTCCTTTCACCCCCCGATTCAACGTTTCAGATTAACTTTAATGCAACAGATAACGGCTTGTTTATGACGTTTACATCTGTATGCCAGCAAACTTATTAATGTTCGCCGCTTTTTACAGCCGCCGCAGACAACATTGATGACCACTATGGGATTATGGGAGCGTGGATCGTAAAAATGAAGCAGCTGTTTTTTAACGTTAAGAAAAGCAGTTAACGACCAAAGATTTAAAGCACCAACGAATTACACCAGCTTGTGACTCATTTATCTATCGTATTTAACAACGATTGTTTACGACCCCTTTGTAATAATTACAATTTTGAAAGTGAAACAGTTGTCACTACTTTTCTCTATGTAAAATATTAAACTGGCATCATATTTGACGTTTTGACGTTCTTTTTGTTGGTGCAAATTTTATTATCTACTTTGACATAAAAACCTGCGGCTATTTTCCAACACTTAGATTAATAATATACATATGTATATAGATATCAAGTAAAATTTTTAACTTGAAGGCTAATTCTGTACTTTCTATTCAATTTATATTAATGATGAACAAAATTCATATTGATCTTGCGAAAATTCAAGACTAAGAGACCAAGAGCAAGTCTAAAAGCGAACGATCGAGACTAAAGTCAAGACCAAACACGCAAGATAAACGAAAAATTATTACTTCCAATTGATTTATGAGTTAAAATTTTTGAAGCAACTTTTATACATTATTTTCTTGGAACAAAACATTTTTCTATTTGAAATTATCCGTTAAATAAAAAAAAAACTTTACCACTGTTTGAAAAAAGGGATCTACAAGAATGACATGAGAGTAAGTGTTTTTGCTCCTAATACGATCTGGATAACACGTGGTTGAAATATAGAGACAAACTAATTTCTCGCNTTTCTTTTTTTACCAAAGTCTAATTAGGTATATTTAATTAATACTAACGCTTAGCTTTCAGATGGTGTCATTCAAGACGTTAGTCTTAAGCAACAGTTACCAGGTAGTTTGTTTCCAGTGGAAGAAAAGCCCTTTCACACTTCCTTCAAAGACGCTGCTTTTGTAAAAGCAACAACATTCACATATAGATAGATATCACAAAGAGTCTCACAATTGTAGAAATTGTTAAAACGTAAAGGATCTGAAGGGTACAAGAGAAGAAACTAATAATTTAAATAAATTAAAAACAAACCTAATACAAACACAAGTTGACACATTTTGATATTTGACATCACCATAGATGGCAATGATGACAGTCATAGAAAATAATAGCAATTCACATCGTCCAACAGAATGTGGATGTCATATCATAGAAATTTATGAAAGGACAATCATAGATGCACAAAACACTTAGGGTGCTTTCAAGCGAGGAAAACACAAAGTGAAACAAAGCTATTGTTCCATTAAATAAAATTTTGGAGGTTACAACCTGCACACAAACCAACCTTGCTCTTATGTTGATATTTAAAACAATCAGGTCATAACAAATGCTTATTGGAATGGATCTGTATCTCAAATTTAGTCATTTTTCCTAGACGAAACTGAACTCCTGAACTCTTAATTAATAATTAACTGATTATTCACAACGAAAATCATTTAGAAACATTCACAAACCATTGGAACAGCTTAATGTTTAAAAAAATGAATTGATTTTTGTCTTTTAAACTGTATATAGATTATACATGAAAGAAAAATATACTTCAGAATTTGACTAGTATCTTCATTCGCTTAATATGAAATATAGGGATGGTAATAACCTAAAGTAAAAAAACTGGCAGAATTACTACAAATGGTCAATTTTGAGAACCAAAATATTGATCCTAAAACTGTTACGAATTATTGAAATAAGTACCTATAAGAAATAACAAAATTAATAAAATAATTTAAGAAGCGCATAACTCAGTTATGGTACTCTATACTTCCATTGTCCCCAAGTTCTTCAGGTAATTGCAAAATCAGTAGCCTGTAAATCTCATAACATAAAACTTAGATGTATTATTGCATTTACACATTACCAAATAGAATTAAGCGCAGCCTTAATGGCCAGAAGTAATCCTAACGAAATTGTTTAAACAAAAATTAATTAAATAATGCAAATGCCGTTAAAATAGCAACAATATTGATTTATTACATTTTTTTAACTAAACATAATCATCTTTTTACTTGATAAATACATCTTTTTCGCTTATTACTAATTAAATATTGACGCCCAACCCATTTTCGGCATATTAAGGGCGCCAATTAGAGTCAAATCCAGCTGCTGTGTCCGAGTCGGAGTCTTGTGTGGAGCTTCTATGAGAGTGTGACATGGACCGAGGCATCTGATTTGGGGTGCCAGGTGTACTGTTTGCACCTGTTGAATCTAACATCTTTTTAGACTTTCTTTTCACGAAGCCTTTTGGAGCGGGCATCGAGTTCTCCTACAAAAAAGAACTAATTCATAACGCCACATTTATATTATACAGGGTGTTCCACCTAAAGCGGTTTCCATAACTCTGTTACTATACATTTAATAAAAAAATGTTTTTTATAAAAGTGGCATGGAATCATATGGTGCATACACAGAAAATATTTTTAGTCATACAGGGCGTTCTATTTCTTCTGGAAGCTACCTAACTTCGTTATTTTAAATGGAACGCCGTGTATACTTTTACATTTTTTTTTGTTTAATTTTTTAACTGTTCCTTATACGTATCTCTAGTAGATTTTGAGATATTTAAGTGTCTGAAACTGGAATGACGCATGTTAAATGGTACCGTTCGATGCAAAATTAAAAGCCCTTTCTATTGATATAAGGTTTTAAATATAAAATAATCGATTTTTTTTACAAAACTGTTAGAGATAAATATTCTATTCTATATTTTATATGTAAAGATGTAGAATAAAGTCAACATTAAATTAAATACAAAAACAAAAATAAGTCGCTAACATCCATCATAAAAGAATATTCTGCAAAAAAAAACTGCTTACCGGAGCTAAATTGTCGGCTGATCCCCAACTTTTATATACTTTCCCATTCATGTTGTCGACAGGATTCACAACGGAATTATTTCCCACAAAGAAATTGCTAAAGGCTTCGGTTGTTCGCTTCACTCTTACATTCAAAGAGCCTATTCTTAAAAAACTGGAGTCTTTGTCTGGAAGTTGATGATAATTAAGTTACACTTTTTTCAAATCTACATTAATAAAACTCGATGGAGACTTTTAACGAAGTAAAAAGCAGGGCGCAATATAATTATAATAATCTTTATTTTCTCTTTTTTTTTTAGTGTATTT